AACAAGTGGAAGCTGAGATAAACGTAAGCTAACAAATGGAAGAGACTGAGGAGACAGAGGACACATGCTATGACAATTATCTGACCTCTGTGATTTTTCTTTGCGTCATACCTCAGACATGGTGGTGACAAAGAAAACAATCTTCTTGTGTGCCGTGTTCGTTGATAAAGCCAATGATATGCGTCCCAAAAGATAGGATTGTAGAAATGATGCAAGAGGAAAAAAAAGAATAAAAATTTTAAAGTAAAAAAAAAATTAATAAAAACAAAATTAATAAAATTAAAATAAAAATAGAATGGGTAACTACTGACTTTCATCAACAAACCTGTAAATATTTTCAAGTGTAAATATTCACATAGATTCTTTAGGATTTCCTGTGTTAATTAACTTTAAACAAACATGTAAAACTTGAAAGACTGTAGGTTTCTATTGATTTATTTTCCACCTTTTGAATGAAACTGTGATCCTTCATATCCCATCAGGTTGGACATAATGCTAGAGCATTGTGCAGGTTGTTACCGTACATCAAACCAGATAAAAGTTGACAGGGCAGTTTTAACACCATAATTAAGCAATTTGACATCTAACACTGGTTTCTGGTACAAATGACTCATTCTCAGTATTTTCAACCTCCTCTGTATTTAAAAATAATAATGTTCTCAGGAAAAACCCCAGATTTCTGCAGACAATGTGTCCCACTAGAGGTCTCCTTTAGAGTTCCTCATACTCAGGTGGATGTGTACGGTAACCAGAACAAATAAGAACGTTAATTAGGCATGCTGGAACTAACCGTACTAGATTTTAGTAGAAAGAGCTTTTGAGACAGGAATGTTGTTTCAAGTAGAACAGACTTGGTTGACTGACCTGTCATGGCTGATTGGAAGAACCTGTGGTGTGACAGTGCTGCTGCAGACACAGTGACTCTGAAACAACTTGCATTAATTCTTTGGCTTTTCCCTTTTTAGTAAGGTTTGTTTAATTCACCAGACCGAGAAACCATTTTTATAACAAACAATTCAGTTTTAAAAAGTGCCTTAAAGTTACATCTGTATTGTTGAGAGCTGATAATGAGGATAATAAGACCTTTGAATGTTAAAACCTGTGACGTGACATTGTTCCTGACAGACAGGAACACCTGTTTGGACCAGCTGAAAAGACAGTAAAACAATGAGTTTGTTGACAGAGTTATACAGTCACGAAACATCTAAAAAAAATAAAATCCAGTCAGACATTCCTCTGTTTCTCCTAAATGTTTACAGTCACGTGTAGTGTCTGGTTTTCCATAAGAGGGCAAGGCAAGGCAGCTTTATACCTTACAACAGTATAAAACTGGCCAAAGTGCTTCAGATTATTTAAAAACATTAAAAACAATACACAACATGGAAAAGACTCTCATGCTGAATTAAAGACCAGGGAAAGGTAGTTGTGCTGTTTTCAGGCATTTGGAATATGAACCATCCGTCCATCTATTCAATCTTGTCCACTTATCCAGGGCCGGGTCGCGGGGGCAGCAGCCTAAGCTGGGAGGTCCAGACTTCTCTCTCCCAGCCACTCGGGTAAGCTCTTTCAAGGAAATCCCAAGGCGTTCCCTGGCCAGCTGAGAAATGTAAGCCCTTTTTACAAGAAACACTGTTCCGGCAAATCGGCGTAATATTACCGCAACAGTGTGTCTTATTTGGCAAGGAGGAGAAATGAGGACCCGGGCGGGATTCAATCCCCAGACTCCCTGCTGAGAGTCATGTGTCATGATACCAGTCAGCCAAAGGGACAGCCCCTTGGCCAAGTAGCCAGGGAGCATGATCAATCAGGACACTGACAGGACGCTCGCACTGCCACACTTATAAATGTGCCATGGTGTCGCACAAATTTTACAGCATTCATTCTGCCTTGCTTGGTAGTAATATTGCGGTAATTATAGGAACGGCGATTGCGCCTTAGCACAGCAGAGGGAGGTGTCATGATGACGTGGGGAATTACTGGTGAACTCTGGCCGGCAACTATATTGAAGATGAAAGTAAAACAGGCTGTAAGTTTTGCTTTTTGAACAAAATCAGCTGAGATGGATAACTGGAGTGCTGCCGCGCTTCTGTAGCTTCTCTCCATTAGAGCTGCAGGTCAGATCACCACAGAGTGTAAAGGGATTGTGGGGAACGTTCACCATTAGGAGCGGCTTGTTAAAAAAAACGTAATGATCGCGGCTTCAATTGCAATAAAAAGTTAGTTATGTCCAAGATAAACGGAAGTCCACAGCAGCGTAGGGACACCCCTAACCACCCTAACCAGATGCCAGAGCCCCCTCAACTTGCTCCTCTCAATATTGAGGAGCAGTGGATCTACTCAGATGACCCAGTTGACAGAGCTTCTCACCCTTTCTCTAAGGGAGAGCCCAGACACCCTGCAGAGAAAACTAATTTTGGCCACTTGCATCCACCCCGTTGCGTGTCTCCTCACCGACACAGACGGAGAAGTATAAATCAGGCTTAACAGAATCAGTTGTCAAAGGGATACAAAGCCATATATGCTGATACATGCAACATTTTTAAAATTCTCTTCATGCTTGTCTTCTGAAAAGTTTCTTTGTCTTTGCCATGGCTGCAGCTGTGACTTTAAGCTTTTCGTGAGACTTTTTTTAAGCAACTGGTTTTGAGTTGCCTTTGAAACAACAGAGTTCCAGTGATGTACATAATCACATGTCAAGTTGTAACAAAGATGTCACACAATTCTGTCAAAATAGGGAGCCTAAGTCACTTCTGCATCATGGGCCCCCGGAGGAACGAAAAAATGAATGCAAGTCATCCATCCATCCATCCATTTTCATCCGCTTATCCGGAGTCGGGTCGCGGGGGCAGTAGCCTAAGGCGAGAGGCCCAGACTTCCCTCTCCCCAGCCATTTGGGCCAGCTCCTCCGGGGGAATCCCGAGGCGTTCCCTGGCCAGGTGAGAGACATAGTCCTTCCACCGTGTCCTGGGTCTAGGTCCTAGGTCTCCTCCCGGTTAGACGTGCCCAGAAAACCTCACCAGGGAGGCGTCCAGGAGGCATCCTGACAAGATGCCTGAGCCACCTCAACTGGCTCCTCTCAATGAGGAGGAGCAGCAGGTCTACTCTGAGCCCCTCCCGAATGGCCGAGCATCTCACCCTATCTCTAAGGGAGAGCCCAGCCACTCTTCGTAGAAAACTCATTTCGGCTGCTTGTATCCGCGATCTCATTCTTTCGGTCACTACCCAAAGCTCATGACCATAGCTGAGGGTAGGAACGTAGATCGACCGGTAAATCAAGAGCTTCGCCTTCTGACTCAGCTTTCTCTTCACCACGACAGACCGGTACAACGCCTGCATCACTGCAGATGCAGCACCAATCCGCCGATCGATCTCACGCTCCAGCTTTCCCTCACTCTGGAACAACACCCCGAGATACTTAAACTCCTCCACTTGGGGCAGAACCTCATCCCTAACCCAGAGAAGGCATTCTACCCTTTTCTGAATCAAGACCATGGTCTCAGATTTAGAGGAGCTGATTCTCATCCCAGCTGCTTCACACTCGGCTGCGAACTGCTCCAGCGAAAGCTGAAGATCACGTTCTGATGAAGCCAACAGGACCACAACATCTGCAAAAAGCAGAGACCTGATCCTCAGGCCACCAAAATGGATGCCATCCACACCTTGGCTGCGCCTAGAAATCCTGTCCATAAAGGTTATGAACAGAATCGGTGACAAAGGGCAGCCTTGGCGGAGTCCAACTCTCACTGGGAACGAGCCCGACTTACTGCCGGCAATGCGGACCAAGCTCTGATACTGGTCATACAGGGACATAACAGCCCGCATCAGAGGGCCTGGTACCCCATACTCCCGGAGCACCCCCCACAGGGCCCCCCGAGTGACGCGGTCAAAAGCCTTCTCCAAATCCACAAAACACATGTAGATTGGTTGGGCAAATTCGGTGTTCAACTCCTGAAGAGTTATTCCTGAGACGCAAGCTGATTCCAACCAACCTGTGCTGCCTGGTGACATCTTTTGGACTGGAGAAGTTAGTGTTTGCGGTCAGTCTACCGGACCTGGGTACCCCAAGGTCATCCGACCTCTCTGACTTCCAGATCCGTGACGAGGGTCATCAAGGGTGAGGAAGAACACAGAGAGATTGTGTCTGAATGTGCTTCTGAAAATAACATCATACTTTAGGGCAAACCAAATTCTTTTTCATCTGGAGACAACACTTTCCGAGATTCGGAAGTACTGACCAACACCTCATTTACACATAGGTTCCTACATCACCTTTAGCTCCATCCATTCATGGTAAATGCTTAGTTCACTTGTCGTGTTACAATTTTAATAAAATAATTTCTTACTATTATAAACCTGACTCTTTAGAAATGGCTTTATAACCTTTACCAGACCGATAGATCTCAATTACTTTTGTTCTCATCTGTTCTTGAATTTCTTTGGATCTTGGCATGATGTCTAGCTTTTGAGGTGCTTTTGGTCTACTTCTCTGTGTCAGGCAGCTCATATTTAAGCGATTTCTTGATTGAAACAGATTTGGCAGTAATCAGGCTTGGGGGTGGCTACAGAAATTGAACTCAGGTGTGAAACACCACAGTTGGGTTATTTTTTAACGGGGGGGGGGGGGGGGGGGGGGGCAATGTAGGTTTGGATTTTTTTCTCTCCCTAAATAATAAAAACCATCATTTCAAAACTGCATTTTGTGTTTACTTGTGTTATCTTTGACTAACGGTTAAATGTGTTTGATGATCAGAAACATTTTGTGTGACAAACATGCAAAAGAATAAGAAATCAGGAAGGGGCAAATAGTTTTTCACACCACTGTAAACTACGTGACAATGACAAAAATATTTGCTTACATCTACCGTAAAAATTATGGTTTACTGACATAACTGACATAACTTTAAACAATGACAGTCACTGTGCTGCGGGTTCTTTGAAACAATCCAACCTGCTTTGTGACGTTCCGGTCCTTTAAAAACCTGCCAAGGTGGAGCATCTTATTTGAAGCTGGAAGGCAGATCGACAAGGCTGTATGTAAACCAAGGTGAGAGACACATTAAATAAAATCATTAATAAATGAAAAGTTAATATTAATGTGTTTCATTTACTTTCTTCCAGTCCAAGACTCACCATGGAAATGAAACGCTTCATTATCCTTATGGCAAACGTGGCAGTAACATCGACTTTCTCCCTCAAAACAGTAAGTTAATTATTGTTCTCAGAAAAGTTTTTATTTGAAAAGTGCAGCATTAAAAAGGGATGGAAAGCTCAATTATAAGCTTTAATAATTCTGATTTTATGCAGTATTTTTAATCCACTCTTCTTTTCTCGTTATATCAAAATGGTAGCTATTTATCGACATTTATTTATGCGTAAAATTTACCAAAGTTGTTAAACTGTATTACAAGTATTTGTGGAATAACTACATAAACACTTTTTTGAAAAGTATATATTTTCTGTCCTTGACCCTATCACCAATTCACACATGTAGGAAGGGTGGTGTTAGCACGGGGGGGGTCCTTGGATCCGGGAGTAGTGGTGTTGTAAACAAGCTGGCTGCCATTACTGGCTGCTTGTTAGCCATCGGCTAGCTGAGGAGGGTTAGCGTGAGGTGGGAGACGTGGTGGAGAGATAGAGCGGCCATCACTAGCTGCCGCTTAGCCACCAGCTAGACACAACCGTGGGCCGCTGCGAAATAACCAAACCAGATGGATCTTGGAGGGGCTCCAGCAGCACCATTTAGGAGCTACATTGTGAATGATCTGTAGGAGTTCCTGAGGCCTTGGATTAACTGCAGATAACTGCGGTGTACGGTTGATGTAATCATTGGTGGAGAAGGAGCGAAGGTCATTGTGGTTGAGCACTGGAGCCTGTTGGGAGAGAGACGGCAGGCTGCAGGAGGAGAAGAGACTCAGGTAGAAGGAACTATAGGACATGTCTTGCAAAAAGCCGTTGGCACTGATACATTGGGACCAGATCGGGAGCTCTAGTATGAAGAAGAGATGAATGAAAAACTTGAGGAGACACAGGGATCTAGGGACACTACTTGTAGGCTGGTGTCCAGCTAAAAGGGGGTGGGGATTTCATGAAATATGGCTGCCGAGTGTGATTACATGAGGACGACCTGACAGATTTGACGTGTCTTTCGATTTCGATGTTTGTTGGCTGAATCTTTTGGTTTGAATTGGCAACTCCATGCTTCCAGGGCAAACTGCTGCCCTCTGCTGCTTCTTTCAGGTTATAGTCATAGTGCAAACGCAGAGCTCATATGTGCGTAAATAGCTACTGTATTTCAAGATGGTAGATGACCATGGAGCATCGACCACAGTTTATGTATTTAAAAATGATGAATTTCAAGCTGAAAGGAATGTTTAGAATTCATGTTGGTAAGAAATGTTGATGAAAAGGGACAACTTTGTGAACTGGATTCACAGAATTTGATAGTACACCAGTAAAAATATTACACACTGGGGCTTTAAGAACACCAAACACGTTGACTGACTTTTTTAAACATTGATTTTTCTTGTTTTATTTCAGCTGGAAGTAGAGATAGTGGGTAAGTTCTACCAATCCTTTATTTTTTCAGATTTATTAATAGTTTTTTTTGTGAATAATGTAAATTTCAAAAGAAAAATCTTCTGATTTTTTGTAGATGTTGGCGAACACTCTAAGATTCCAGATGGTGAGTAAATTTTTCCTCGTGTTAGTAGATATTTGTTGCTTTGTTTTCATATATGACAATGTTCAACTGCTGTCCTTTGCTCTGTCTCAGATGTATTTTATAACGACATTAAGCGGGTACGTTTTCCACAAAAAACCAAGATTACATTGTATTTGATCTTGTAAGTATTTGTTTCTCACATTTTCCGCTGTTTGTCTCAGAGAAACACTCGCAGTACAGTTACTGATGAGACGATACTGTGGACATCCCCAGTCTCCTATGTGTTGGACCAAAGTCTTGGTAAATATGATTTGTTTTTAATAACACAACATTTCCCATACTGCCTTTTATATAATATGAAATTAAATAAGTAACTTTCATGTCTTTGTTTCCTTATTTCACCACTTTTTGGGGATAATTAAAGACCTGAATGCAAAAGGAGTCATCGTGAGAGCACTGGACCAGTTCAGAGTGAAGTCATGCATTGATTTCAAAGTACACGACTCAGAGACCTATTATCTTAAAATCCAGAAGCTGACTGGGTATGTATTTCTGATTTTGCTTTCACATTATGACTAGCTTATGACATACCCTATAAGTCCCACACTGTACTGCCCTTATTTACATGTCCTGTAGTGGGTTGGAAATCGGTGCGGTGCTGAGAGGGAAGGAAGCTCACAAAAATACCACAAACATGAAACATTGTTTCCCCTCATACTTTTATAATGATCAAATACAGGCTGAGTCAGAAGGTTGGGGTGAAATAGCAGGTTATTGAAAATGGTGCAATTTTCACAAGCTAGCCTAATGCTTCTTTCAATGACCTAGAAAAATGTATTTGATATAAGATCATTCAAAGTCAGGTATTATTAACAAAACATAATGCCACTTTTACTGATCAGTGTTTTTTTTATTGTAGATGTTGGTCTTATATTGGTCGGCAGTTCCTTAATGGACAGGACCTCTCGATTGGAGCAGGCTGTGATTGGATTTCCATTGCTGAACATGAGATTCTTCATGCTCTGGGCTTCTACCATGAACAGTCTCGATATGACAGAGACGATTACGTGCAGATCATATGGAGCAACATTTTATCAGGTTAAACTGTTGCCCAACACATACACATTAGCTTGAACTATTGACGTCTACCATCAAAATCAAATCAACTTGTACAGTGTTGTCTAAGCAGCAGTTCTCTCTCATGCAGGTCAACAACATAATTTTGATAAAGTAAGCAGTTCGGTCAGCACCGCCCATGGAACACCATATGACTACTGGTCAGTGATGCACTATGGCAAAGATGCATTCACCAATGGCAATGGATCAACAGTCATTACCATAGATCCAAAATACCAAGATGTGATTGGCCAAAACCTGGAAATGAGTTCCCTGGATGTTAAAGAGTTGAACTTGCTCTACCACTGCAGTGAGTATCTACAGAGAGCTGAATGTGTTGGATGTTAGCAATGTTTTAAGTCAGTGGTCCTCAATAGGCGGTCCCCTCTTTGTAGTCCCTGAACCCTGCGCACTAATTTGTATATGTACTGGAGTTATAATATATATTAACATTATTGAAATTCGTGTTGTTGTGTTGTGATGTTGTGTCCAGAAGTTGTTGTATTCTGATATTTTAAATTTTTTAAGTATGAGTAAATTGATTTAGGGATAGGTGAAATAAGCTATACTTCTTCCTATTTCTTTTCGAACAATTATGGTTGTGATGAGTTATCTAAGTTGGAAATTACTATATGTATTGTTTTATTTGTTTGAAATAAAAAGAGAGAAAAATATATATATATATCATTATGAAAAAAACATGTCTGCTTTTTCCACAGACTCAACCGTTGCATTCATGTTGTATTGTGGCTTTTCTAATGGGACCACGTGCCAGATGAACCAGTGCTCACAGGGTGGAAATCCCTGGAAAGTTGTTACCCAGGTTACGGCAGGTCCAAGCTCAGATCACACCACTTTACCTACTGGAAGTGGAAATCAAAGTAATATTTTAAAGTTTAAAACAATTTATTTGAAAAGACATACAACAAACATAACTGAAATCAACATGAAAATACCCTTTCATTGTAATAAGACGCCTTAAAGCTGTTCTTGCGAATCTACAGAACAAGTTAGGTTTAGAAGACAAACAAGGTCACAGAAACCTCACTCCTTTCATCGGGAATCTTCCTTGGATCCGTGTCCAGTCCACCAGAACTTGAAACCTGCGATGTCAGAGGATACGAGAGAGAGCTAAACATTAGTCACCATTTTCTAGGTCCAACTGTCTTTTATGGTTCGTGACTTCAAATGGTGTTTTTCTTTTTGGGACTCTGGTAGTTTGTCCTAAAGTTGAAGTGGTAGCAGCCGGCTGTTTCTCCTCTCACACCAGTTCTGTTGTTCTGTTGCTAAACACGCAAGTGGAAGACCCAGGGTATTGTGGTGGGTCGGTGAGACCAACAACCGGATGGTTCAACGGTAGATTTTGGTCAAAATCTTGCTATTGGCAGAGGCTTTTAGACAAACGCGAGAGAACCACTTTATTACTTAAAAAAAACATTTTTATATCTCCACCACATATTTATAGCTGTACTATGTTAAAACAAAAGAGGGATGAAAAAATAAGCTATTTTTTTAAATTTGCTATAGCAGCTTTAAGAACTTTTCAAATTATTTCATGTTGGTTTCATTTGTCTTGATGGACTTATTTCCGCAGGCTGTGCACCTATAACGTACATCTCAATCAGTCCAAATGTTTATGTCCATTGCAAGAGAGAATCCACCATAACATTATTTTGGACATCATTCCAGATCAGGAGACGGGATACTTCATGCACGCTAGCACAGCATCAGGTCAACAAGGAGATTCAGCTCGGTTGGAGACCAAGGTTATGAGTCCTAAAAGGGGATGTAATGTCCAGTGCCTGCAGTTCTACTACTTTAACAGTGGGAATGAGTCTGATGCCCTCAACATCTGGATCAGAGAGTTTCAAAATGACAAGGATTCAACAGGAATCCTCCGCCTGGTGGGTCAGGTTCAAGGTAATGCCAAAATATGAAGGTAGTTATTTAATACTTGCATTTTTCTCCAAGTATAAATATAAACTCTGTGTTACAGGACCACAGACATCTTACTGGAAGCTCCATGTTGTTTCTCTGAATGCCACCACGAAATTTCAGGTGGTGTTTGAGGTTCGGAAAGGTGCAGGAAGCTCCAAAGGTGGCTTTTCAATTGACGACATTAATCTCTCCGAGACTGAGTGTCCACATGTAATCCTGCAGATTGACAATCTGGTGAATCGTTTAAACACTGATGCATCTGGAACCAGAATTTACAGCCCACGGCAGTATTCCAAAAATGGCTATGCTTATAGGGTAGCTGCTATACTTTACAAAACGTTTGTTGGAATGTATGTTCAACTCTTATCTGGTGTAAATGACAACCAGCTGCAGTGGCCCTGCCTAAAACGGCAAATGAATTTCCAGTTACTGGATCAAACGCCCAACAAGCAGGAACAGATGACTAAGCAATCAAATTTTGTCAGTGATGAAACTCAACTCTACGGTGGTAAGTTGACATTTAAATTAAAATTTAAAAAAGAAAAAGAAATTTACACATACATTTATTTTTGTGCTATGTGTATTTTCTAAAATCAGGTACAAATGTGTGGAGTAATCCACGTGAGACTGGAGTAGGAGTGTTTTATGACAATGGGGAGTTAGTCTACGGTAAACCTCTGTGGGGATACTCATATTTTGCACAAATCAATGATTTGCAAACTAGAGAGGTCCTCAAGGGAGGGAGCGCCATTTTCATGTTCAACTTTGAGGGTGAGTTACAGCTTTGTTTTTTATCGAAAAAATGTGAAATGCGTCTGAAACTGAAATATAATAATGAATGTTTACGTGCTTTTATACTGAAAATGACACACCACAACCAGTTCATTTTTAAACTTATTTTTTATTTTAATTATTGTGATTAGAGAGGGTACTGGTAATAATAATAATAATAATAATAAAAGTAGTAGTAGTAGTAGTCGTAGTAGTCCTAATAATAATAATAATGATAATAATAATGCCTTTTTTATACACTTTGTTTCAAAAAGACAATACTTGAATAAACAGAGTGTAGAATATTTTACTAGTGACACATTTGCTTTTAATGACTTTTCTGCTTGTTTTTGAGCAGATCTCACTCCACTTATTAATGGAAGTACTCTACTGTGCCCTCAAGTGAGACCAGTGGATGTAAAAAATCCTCCATCGGTTCCCAGTGAAGGCCCCTGCTTGCCACAGTGAGACATTTTGTCAAATATCTTTTGAAAGCAAAAAGTAAAATTTAAAACAAAATATGAGAGAAATGTAGAATTTACCTTTGATACAATCTTTTCGAATTTTGCAGGTCTGCCTCGACTACCGCTCCTCGTCTTACAACACTAGACAACAGGTAACTCCAAATTTAAAGTAACGTCAAATGTTTTTGGCTGTGAAAAGAAGCCGTCTGCCACATGATGCAGCATACTTGGTGTTGGCCTCCACTAGATATCTCAGATGATTTAACTACATCTTGCTTCTTATTGTGGTGGGAAAGTTGTGTAACTTCGTCATCATCATTATCATCATCATTACCATCATCATTTATTCAAATGAAGCATCAATGCAAGACACCCAAAACACTTCATACACACAAAACAAAACAAATACAGTCCTTAGAATTTCATAAAATCTAAAAATCACAATAAAAGCACAATAATCTAAATTAATTCTAATGGATTCTTCAGATGGATTTTAACAGTCTGAAGAGAAAAAGAAAACTTTTCTAAAAATGGAAACATGAAGGATGTTTCAATGGACATTAGGACCGTCATCGATGGCTATATATGTTTATGTATTTAGCAGACGCTTTTCTCCAAAGTGATAATCAAGCCTGGAGGTTGCCCCTAAGGCTAACAACAAACACTATTCAGTCAATTCTAGGTGGCATTGAGGCAGAATAATCAATCATAGAGGGAAGCGAACATGGAGTGTGCAGTGGAGTGGGGGACGGGTGCAGGGAGGGTCCTAGTTTAGAAGATGCTTTCTGAAGAGCTGGGTCTTCAGGAGTTTCTTGAAAATCGACAAGGATGCCCCTGTTCCACTAGTGCTTGGTAGGTCGTTCCACATCTGTGGAACGATACACGAAAAGAGTCTGTAGTGTCCTGAGTGTGGTGTAAGCACTCCTTGTTGACGATCCTTCAATGACCACAGCGGCCGCGCCATGACTTAAGCCTTTGCAAGAGGATTTGGGTAGATGGGAGCCGTACCATCCAGGGCTTGTATGCTAGTGCTAGCGATTTGAATTTCATGTGTGCAGCTAGCGGTAGCATGCATGGAGCTCAATGAACAGAGGGGTGACATGCTCTTTTAGGTTGATTGAAGACCAGACGTGCCACAGCATTCTGGATAGGGATGTCCCGATCTGATCGGCCCCGATCAAGTGGTTTCAGACTGATCAGGACTCGGGCTTTACTTCCCGATCCAAGCCCCGATCTGGAGTTGGATACTGGGTTCAAATTACAGGAGAGCCACTTGGTTGTCAGGCTCCCCGATGCCCTTAACTTACACACCCAGAAGGAGCACAAAAGAGATCCAGTTTCTACCTATATTATATGGACTCAGCGTAGCGGGGATTTTGAGCAGAGATGCAGAGAGCGGCAGGCAGATCGCTGATTATTCATGAACTCCGGCTGCGTTCTGCACACGGCTACAGTAACATTTTCTAAGTTTCTAAGTGGCTTCACCAAAAAATATATAATTAACACACAGTCATTCGTGTCTGTTCATTTTCTCCCTGGTAAGTTCTGTCTGCATTTGCGCATGAGGTGTGGACCAGGGGCGTATTTAGGATTGAAGAAGATCCGGGGCTTAGCACATGCACACACGGATTTGAATGGATTTGAATATTGTGCCGTATGGATGGTTCCACTGGGATGACAATTAATTCCGTTTTAGAGAGATTGAATTGGAAATGGTGGGATTTCATCCATATTGATATGTCAGAAAAACAGTCCGAGATTTGTGCAGAAACTGCGTAGTCGGCCGGCAAGAATGACAGATAGAGCTGGGTGTCATCAGCATAGCAGTAGTAGGAGAAGCCATGAGATCGAATTATCTTACCCAGTGAGATGGTGTATGTGTCAAAGAGAAGAAGTCCTACAGAGCCCTGGGGGACTCCTGTAGCAAGATGTCGAACAGCAGAAGATTGTCCTAGCCAAGATGCACTGAATGATCATCCTGTGAGGTACGATTCAAAACAGGAGTGTGTTTTCCCTGTGATGCCCATGCTAGAGCATATGGACAAAAGTAAGCCATGGTTGACAGAGTCAAATGCAGCCGATAAATCAAGCAGGATAAGTAACGAGAATTTGGCAGGCCCTCTACCTTCTTTTAAGAATTCTGTCATTGCTAACAGAGCTGTTTCAGTGGAGTGGCCCTTTTTGATCCCAGATTGGTATGGATCAAGCAGACAGTTTTGTGAGAGGTGTTCTGTGATCTGCACAAAAAGTGCACATAGTCTTTAAAGGGGTTTGAAATGCTAACGGTTACAATTAAGGTGGAGCTTGGTGTTTAACCAGAGTCTATTCTCTCCCCCCCCCCCCCCCCCCTCATGAACTGTCTGGCTGTGAAGCAAACAGAACTAATGTCTGAATACTGGTGACAAGCCTTACAGATTTACTCAGGTGGAGCATCAAAACATCTGCATTTAATGTCACGCCTGATACTTGAAACTTTATTGTTATTGTTTTTTGAATGCTTATAATTCCGACTGGACACGGAGACAGAGGTGTCTGCTTCTAGACCTGCAGAAGGAGAGAGAGAAAAAAAGAAGAGGGATACACAGCAATACAACAGAAGCAAACTATCACTGTGTCAACCTGATGAGGAAATATAAAATCAACATTGTTTTAGTGAACAATCACGATAATAAATCACAGTGCTTACCACAGCCGACGTGTTGAACGTGCTCAAGTCCATACTTATGAGAGCACCATGTGAGCAACTATGTGCGTACCCGCTCTTGTACATGTAAGGTTTCTCTATAGGAGCGTCCAATAGAGAGTGTGAGGGACCACAGATTTGGACCTCAAAGATGCTAGGAGATGGAAGGAGCTCCAAGTCTCAGAGATTCAGGGGCTGCCCCAGAGCGCAGGGACCCCAGGGAGACTGCAACCAGAAAAGCCCCCCTCAAGAGTCACAGAGGATAGTTTCCTTTGCGATGCATATGGCAGTCAGAACCACATGAACCAAAGATGTTTCACTCGGGACATCATCCAGGTTTCCCAGCAAACAAAGAGAGGGGGCAGTTGGGATATGACATTTCAGACATTTTGACAGGTCTTCACATACTCAACCCCAGAATTTCTGGACAAGTGGACAGGACCACAGTGCGTGAATGTAATTGTCAGGAATGTTGTTTGTGCAGGTGTCAGGCGACAAAAACCCATCCTGAACATCTGATGCCTGTATAGTGTACTCTGTGTAGGATTTTGTACTGAATTAATTGTAAATTGGGGTGTCTGATCATTTTAAAAGTTTTTAAGCAAGTTTGGGACCACAAGTTCTTGTCATAGCTGACTGATAGATCTACCTAACATTTTTCAATAGGGATTGCTATAACCAGAGTGCATTCTGTAAAATATTTTTTTACCCGTTGCAGGATTTCATCAACCATCTCGTCTAGCTCTACTATCATCTCGTCAACAAAATCCACCACAGCAACGACCACCACAACACCCACAACAAAATCCACCACAGCAACGACCACCACAACACCCACAACAAAATCCACCACAACAACCACCACAACACCCACAACAAAATCCACCACAACAACAACCACCACAACACCCACAACAAAATCCACCACAGTAACGACCACCACAACACCCACAACAAAATCCACCACAGCAACAACCACCACAACACCCACAACAAAATCCACCACAGCAACGACCACCACAACACCCACAACAAAATCCACCACAACGACCACCACAACACCCACAACAAAGTCCACCACAGCAACGACCACCACAACAACCACCACAACACCCACAACAAAATCCACCACAGCAACGACCACCACTACACCCACAACAAAATCCACCACAATGACCACCACAACACCCACAACAAAGTCCACCACAGCAACGACCACCACAACAACCACCACAACACCCACAACTAAATCCACCACAACGACCACCACAACACCCACAACAAAGTCCACCACAGCAACGACCACCACTACACCCACAACAAAATCCACCACAGCAACAACCACCACAACACCCACAACAAAATCCACCACAGCAACAACCACCACAACACCCACAACAAAATCCACCACAGCAACTTCCACAACACCCACAACAAAATCCACCACAGCAACGACCACCACTACACCCACAACAAAATCCACCACAGCAACGACCACCACTACACCCACAACAAAATCCACCACAGCAACGACCACCACAACACCCACAACAAAATCCACCACAACGACCACCACAACACCCACAACAAAGTCCACCACAGCAACGACCACCACTACACCCACAACAAAATCCACCACAGCAACTTCCACAACACCCACAACAAAATCCACCACAGCAACGACCACCACAACACTCACAACCAAATCCACCACAACAACTTCCACAACACCCACAACTAAATCCACCACAACGTCCACGACAACAACCACCATCAGACCAATTTCCAAAACACCAAATAACAACAGGTATGTCCACATATCTACGTGTTTTGGACTTTAAATTTTCTTTTTATAGCAATCCAGCCATGTTTATACTGCAATGATTAACACTTGAAAAGCTTTAGTTGGTATGATCATAAATTATAGTTACAGGCAACAAAATATACACAAATGACAGTTAAACGTCACAATTTAGTTGCATTATTTAAAGTGGGCATACACACCAATCATTAATTATTTTACTATGGTCTCTAGCAGGAATGAGTATAAGTTTTCCAGGGTGGGTGGGGGGTGTATGTTTGAGACATGCAGACATCCCGCAACTGATTGACTAACAGCAACCTGACTCTTCCACTGCCAAAATTCTCTCTTGTTTCTTGAGTAAAGAATGCAATGCTGATGTTTTATTTCCACAAACAACATAAGGCTGAATGTGTTCTGCCATGTTGGCCACTAAATAGGGAGCCATGGTCTCCTCCCCTTCTGGTCGACCCATGGGTCCCTATAACAAAGAAACTATGAATGGAAGTGAATGGGCAAAAGCTATTTTCTTATCCGCTTTGCCTTACGCCCTGAATCACACAAATGTTGTACTTCAACTTTTAACAGTGTGATGCAGAGCTAGGTAAAAATTCAATGTATAAGGTGTAAAGCAGGGGAATAGTGTGCATAGTTTAGGGGAATGGGTGTGCTTTTGTAAAATAACATTATGGTTTTGGAATTTGAGTTCAAAGGATTGGTTATAGTGTTTAAGCAATCGAGAAAAGCTGTATTAGTTCAAAACAAGGATCCCTAACCAGATAAAACATTTTTTTAAAGAGCTTGGTATTAAATCACGACAAAACAGATTAATACATAGAAAACAAGCATCCTGTGTCTAACCTATTAATTTATTTCTGTGACTTTAACAGGATCTTACCTGCCACCAGTAACCCAACTGTGACAGAAGCTGCCAGGTATCCCCATATTTGTTCCAACATTTAACATGTATAAAAGCTTTCTAGCACTCCAAAGAAAGTAGTGTCATACTTGTGTATAAAGTAATGTATAGCATGTTTTAACACAGCTTATGAAATTTTCAAAGTTTATAAGGCAGTGGTACTCAATAGGAATGTCATATTACTGGCTCAGTCATTTCTCAATTTAATACTCAATTTAATACTTTTTCGAACAGCATTCCCTCTCCTAGACCCTTCAGTTTCACTTGTATTTGAGTACCCGTGTTAGAAGGTCTTTAATGCTAATAAAATGCATTTCATGTTTAAGCGTTTTTCTTATTAATATTTTTTTTATTTTGTGCCGTAGACTTTCTGGCTCCTCTCCTGGAAAGTTGGCGTCTCCGGTCCTCATTCTCCTGCTGGCAGTGATGCTTTTTGTGCCTTAATGTAGATTTACTATTTACATCCAGTCTTTGTAGTAAAAGCACCAAGAAATTCTTTGCAAATGTTATTTTTACTGTTGTTTCCTAAAAGAGATTTGAAAAGAAGAATGCTATACACACATAATTATGTTGGGAAAATTGTGCATTTTTTGTCGTTTTGTTAATTTTATGTCATTGATGCTGGTTTGTGATGGGTCCATAATCTTGTTGGATGTGGATTTTGTTAAAGCAGTGATAGACCAAAATGATATTTCTTTTTATTATGAAAGTGCAGAATTATAGCTCTTGATTTACCTGATAAAAAGTTGATCAAAGTCTGAGTCTGAGGATTTTTCCTTCTTTACATTGTGTAGTCAACTCCATACTAATACACGTATTTAACTTTGTGTTCTGGTGGCTTGTAACAAGTTAGAATAAAAGATGTGTGTGAATATAGTCTGGGAATACGCTGGTGAAGGTTCTCAGTCATCCAGGTCAGGGTAATCCAAAAGGTTCAGTTGCTTTATTCTGAACCCTTTTGGACCTAGTCGGACCAGGACCCATAGACAGATCTCAGTAGTAGGGGTGGGCGGTATATCGAATATACTCGATGTATAACGTGTTTTTGGACGTACGGTGGTTAAAATTGCTCTATCGCAACCATCGAGTAAAAACTGTCATAGCTGTGAGAGTCCAATTTGTTAAAAAATAACTCCCACACCATGCCAATGCATCACAAATCCCCCTTCCAACCGGTAAAACGTTGATGATGACACCCCTATCAGCATGCTCCAGCCAGGTCACGTCATTCTTCGCTGACTACATAGAGGGTGCGTGTTGAAAAGAATGAAAAGAATATGGCGGCAGCTTCAGATGAGCAAGCGAGAACTTTAGCGGAGTCAGACGAGCAAGTTCCAAAGAAAAACAGTACTGGATCAATAATCTGGCGATGGTTTACATTTCGCAAGGAGGACATGGAACAAAATGTGGTAATTTACTAGACATGCCAGAAAATGATAGCCAAAAAAGGTAGCAGTACCACGAACTTATTTCACCACCTGAAAACCCACCCATTACAAAATGAAGAATGTTGCAAACTCGGCATGTCAATGTCTCCCCACACACCGAAGACAACTGTCATGGATTTTCTCAATATGTTTATCAATAACCCATTTCCTATAGTGAAAAGAGAAGGAGACAATGAGCAAACAAGTCAAACAGTTATAACTGTGGCATGATGCACGAGGCAAAATACCCCGAACATCCAGTCACAGAGTTTATTTATACCAAGAGATAGATAGAGAGAGAAAGAGAGAGAGAGAGAGAGAGAGAGAAAGAGAGAGAGAGAGAGAGAGAGAGGAGAGAGATTGTGTGTGTGTGGGAAGTCAAGAATATGTGTGTGTGTGTGTGTGTGTGTGTGTGTGTGTGTGTGTGTGTGTGTGTGTGTGTATGTGTGTGTGTGTGTGTGTGTGTGTGTGTGTGTGTGTGTGTCTTGTGTGTGTGTGTGTGTGTCATGCAAAGAGGCATAGAGCAATACATTTACATTCAGTTGATTGAGTCCATGATCAAGAATTAATAAACATAAATTTTCCCATTACATTCCCTCCTGTTTATCCGAATTGGATAACCAAACAAAAGGAAGCAACAAAGCAAAACAAAATTAAATGAGGAAAATAAAAATAAGTAAAATTATATTATCCACTTCCATAACTTGTCACCATTAACTTTGAAAGCTACTTCAATCACGAATCAAGGAATAGAAAAGGGGTAAAACAAGGAAAGGTGATCATCTCAGTAGTCATAAGGACCAATAGGGTACAAATCAAGTAACTCAAGACAAAAAATGATAAGTATCAAAACAAGAAAAATAATAAGTAAAGTAATAAATAGGGATGAGCCGGATAAAGCATTTTTCACGAATACGAGCATGAAACGAGTAAACCTAGTAAATATCTGTAATCGTGCTGAAGGAAAATCCTCATTGGGTAACTGACTGTCTTCACGCTCTGTGATTGGCCAGTCACATAGAGCGCCCGCCCCTCCCTACACACAAAACTCTCTAGCCGGCCGGGAGCGCAGTCCGTCCGGCTCATCCACACACACAGACAGTAACGGATCTCGCTGTGATCGCTTCACTGCTGCTCACGTTTCTTCAGTTTTCCCTTGGTTTTCTTCAGCTCGCCTCTTTTTCGGTTGAACATTTAAAGTTACTTTTTACGTATCTTACATGGTGCATTTGACAAGACAGCTGACGTGCTGCATCAGTCACTCACTACCTCCGCTCCGGTCGGTTTTTTTTTTACTCCATCTCTCTCCCTCTCACCCTCTCTATCTCCCTCAGACACACACACCTTAATCAACATTGTTTTGTTTAACTTTGTGTGGGGCTAAATGCCAAGAACGTTAAGTAAAAAATCGGTTTAATTAAATTAAAATGAAAAAATATACATAAAGTTGTGTCTGGTTCTAGCATTTCATATTTCCTAGTTCCTACTGCATGAGTTCAGATGTATTAAGCCATGCACTTAAATACTAATGTTCTGATTTTATTGAAACACTTTTTCTGAAATAGTTCCTTTACTATTGTGATCAAAAATATTTAATCTCAATTCTGAGGCTGCTCTGTAAATAGTTTTCAAATAAACAATACACATATCAACTTCTGATCAGTCCATAGCAATTTCAGACTTAAAGTAATATATTGATGTAAACCACACCCACTTCCAGTTAAACCACGCCCACGTCCAGGTTATGTCACGCCCATTCCGAGTACAGATACAGATAATTTAGTTGAACAGATACAGATACAGATAGTGGTGTACTCGCTCATCCCTACTATTCACCAAAGTCTGTTCTGAGGAATTTCCTTTCTTTACCACATGCCAAATATGAATATATTGTACTTTGTGTTGTGGTTGGTAGCATGCCTCAGAACCAAACTAATAGGTCCTCCGATTGGATCCATCCATTCATTTTATACCCGCTATCTGCAGCTGTCTTCAGGCAAACAGGCAAGGTATACCCTGGACAGATTGCCAGGCCATCACAGGGCAACACAGAGACACACAGGACAAACAACAAATCTCACACACACACACACACACACACACACACACACAAACACACCTAAGAACAATGTAGAGAAACCAATCAATCTGACAGTCATGTTTTGGACTGTGAGAAAAGGCTAGGGTA